TGCAATTTCCCAAAAAAAAGGGTTTTTTTTTTTTTTTTTTTTTTTTTAGTTTTCTTCAATAAAACATGTCCTGATTAGACCAGCATTTCGCAATTAAGTGAGGAGACTATAGCTACACTCAAAGGATGGTATACAAGTTCAACAGGCAACTTTGTATACCAGATGGGGTCAAAAAATTTGCCTTTAGAGAAATGGGTGAAAGACTGACAAACTGGATGTTCAGCCGTCCCAGCATCTGGGGTAGGGCAGCTTCACACTGAGCAGAGTCCTCCCCACCTTACATCACTGCAGCATTTATCCAGAGCCTAATAAATGGCAAAAAGGTCTTCCCAGCAACTTCTGCAGACCTTTGTGGAAAAACTGCAAAATTTGGTAAAACCCCCATATTTTCCAGTCTATATACAAAAAGGTGCATTTGTTAATGTGACTTAGCTTTAAAATTGTTCTTATATGTTCTCAGTCTTCACTGCCAGTCTTTCCGCCTCAGCACAGAAACTCACTGAGTGCTGCCTTTTGGTAAATAGCCTGGACAAGGAAGATCCAACGCACTTTGTTTTCCCACAGTCCTTCAGGTTCATGCACACTCAGGACCTTACTGTCTAACTCAAAACCAGAGAAAAACGCAGTGACCTTCCAGTTGCAAAGAAATCCTCACAGATCTGTAGCTGACCATTGGTTCAAAGTTGTTTCTAAATGGTTGCTTTCAAGAAGGCAATCACAAAGAATTTAGAAAATCTGTGAAAGACTTCAGGAAAGAAGGCAATGGAGAAGTCACACTTACCAACTCTACAAAGGCAAGTCCACCATAACTGTGAGCAACAAAAAACACGTTCTCTGCAGCTGACTGGGAAATAAAATGGTCCCAAACATAAATTGCATGTTCTTCAGGGGATCCATTATCCTGCAGAAAGAAATTATGTTTGCGACAATTACCTTTTAAAAAATGGCAATTCTGTGTAAAAGCAACATGTTCCTATATGTTAAAATGTTTTGTTAAAACAAACCTCAAATGAATATACTCTAGTGTCAAAAAAATAACAGATTCATTTGTCTAAATAAAAGAAATTTAAGATTGCAATTTAAAGGCAGTAAAACTGTTGCTTTATTGTGGCTTATTTTAATAAACACAACAAAAATTATGCATCTGCAAAATTTTGTCTAAATACCATGATGGCAATTCAGCTAAACGGAGGCATTGAAAGAAATTATGAGCCACTGCTCTGATTTTCATTCTTTTGACAACTCTTTGTCAAATGTTTGTTCACTGATGGTTTGTTTAAAGTAGTTAAGCCTTAGTCTGATAAAACAAATATAAACAAGTAGGAACAATATAAATGTAATTTCAGTCTTCACAATTTTTTCATATTATGGGCCAATGGAAATCTGCCAAAGATTACAATTATGGTATTTGCAACTACTCTGTTAAATGCTACTTTTTGCAACTGCAGGCTATGAGATACAGCACAGATAAAACACCTCTTGACTGCTTACATATTAGCCATTACTTTGTAATCTCCAGTAGTTAGGGGAGTGCTTTTTCTTATTATTGAACAAGAATTTGTGAACGCCAGTCAATGTAAGAGTCACTGAAGGCACTGGAGTGATTTACACTGATTTTAGTGCATTCTCCTCAAACATTGGGGTTGTGCGCTCCCACCTCTACCTCGGAAACCCCTGCATCCTTCTATATTTTACTTATTTCTCAGGTTGTCCATGTCATAACTACAAATCTGTCTAGTCTCAGGTGACAAGAGTAAGATGCTCTGCCAGCATCCCTGCCCCACCAGGATTTCACACCTCTCTAGCATAACACTGCAGGCTTTTTCCAGGCTCTCTTGTGCCAGAAAGAGCTGATCAGCCAAGGTCACGTCATTTCCTAGAATTTGCATCCCTTTCCCCTTTGCTCTGCTCTACCAACAACTTCATACCCCTAGGTGACCCAGACACAGACGACAAAAGCCTCAGTTCCTTGGGGAAAATAAAGCACAAATGAGCAAAAGCCATTGGCAATCAGAAGATGCTAATTACACTGTGAATGACTATAACTTTACTAAGAACACTGAAGCGATTTAGGTCTTAGTCCCATTCTGAAACACAGTTTGGGGAATTTAAGCTCTTACGAGTGTCTAAAATCAACGGGAAGACAGACAACGAAATAACATGGTGGATTTAGGCTTTTACTTCTATTCTCATGTCTGGTTTCCTAAATAAGAGTGGGACAGCTACAAATCTTTACGGATCTGGACCCAACGCTTTTAAAACAATTATGTGCTTTTAAACTTTTTTTCTCTAAGGTAGCAGCGATTAAAACATATTTATCAAATTTGCCAAAAAGCACTGAAGGTAGTCTTAATCCTGGGCTGATTCTGCTCTTGATTGACTATGACAGAACATAGTTTTAACTAATTATGTATCAACTATTGTAAACCGCCTCAGCATGAGAAAGGGCTTATTTTCTTTCAACCCCGTTTTGAAATTTGATTGCAGAGATAGGTAAAGGAGGTAAGGACTCCTCCCATTGTGAGGAAAGAGGGAAGTTTTTCAAAAGAAATTTCATAAAGAGAATATGATTGACAGACCAGTTATTAAGATAAAGCTGAAGGACAACTTGAACTGGAGTTTCCTATGGAAAAGTGATGTACTCTAATTATGATACACATGGAAAAGGCACATTAAAACACCAGGAGAGTTTTGAAATTACTAGTTTATCTAAAACATTTATTTTAGTTAAATGCTCAGAAGATATTTGTTTTTAAATAATAATGTTACCATTAATTCTCATAACAGCAATTTTTGTACAGGTACATAACCCTGGTTTAATGTTCTGACAAAAAGAAGAGGTTGCTTCCTGTTAATATTGCATTTTCAGGTATTTTGTATTTATTATTCCACACACTGCTGGGAAAAGCACACAATTTTAGGGTTTCCGTAAGACTAAGACAGCAGCAAAAAGCTTCTGAAGGATTCAAAAACTCAGCCCGAAAAATCTTCCACCAATTAAAGAATAACCAGTGGTCTAGTAAACCAAATCATTAACTGCACAGCTTCACAGGCCAGTACAAAGACTCAGTAGGATTTTATCAAAGCAAAAAGAAATGAGCTAGAATGAGTTAGATACAGACTCTAACTACAGTTTCCTTTGTTACTGGTGAAAAAACCCCATAAAACATCAGGATAAACTGTGTTGCTGTATAAACTCTGCTAAACGTTAAACAAGGTAAGAAATGCACATATGTGTGAGAAGGAGTTTGGAGGAGTTGTGTATCTTTAGAAGAAAAGCTCTTTCTTCAGAGCACCTGCTTATTTTTTCCCCTCATAACAAGCCCGTATTTTCAACAACTCGGATGGGGAATAAACCGGCACTGTGTCTGTACGAGAAGCATCTGGCTGCAGGAGCAGGCACCGCCGACTGCAGAATATGGCTGGTCTCCTTAGGATTTCGAATTGCACTGGGTCCATCAGGACCCGGGGATTAACCTCCTCTGCCTGGCCTGGGTTAAATTATGAGGCTGGATACTGCAGTTTCAGTATGGAACGTGACATTTTCAGGCAGCTGTTGCTTTCCTTCTTTTCACTGCAGCTAAATACAATGCACTTATATACCACCTTGTTAAGTTATTTGATAAAGTGCGGGCCTCTTGGTCATGCTTTACATAATTATATATATGATTGTACAGAAAGGAATGGAGAAATCATGCTATGTACCTCTGAAGGCATTCTCATTTGTGAAACAGACTGAGATGGAAAGGTGCTGGGAAAGCTGAACTGAAATTTCCAGCTGCTGAAAGTTAGTCATCTGTAACCAGTAATTCTATGTCTAAATAAGCAGTCTGATTTTTTGGAGGTCTGGAAGTCATAGCCGTGGGTCTCCACCCCTCTGAAAATCTCCCCTCCCCTCTGCAATATACATAATTAGAAATAAAAGAAAAAAGAAATTGAGAACCATATTATGTGAAGAGGCCTCCGTACGACACTTAACCAATGCAAAGTAACCCAAAACCAGGCAACTGTCGGGTTGGTGCAGACCAGGTACCTCCTGACTCTGCTCCTGCACCCCAGCTCCGTGGTGCTGGGGTGCGGAACGGAGCAGAGGCTCTGAGCACAGGAGGTAAAACCTTCGCCTGTGCTCCCACCATGTAAAATCTTACCTGCCTCTGGTTTTAATGGAATCCTATCAGTAAGATTTACCCTTTAATTCACTAATAAATGAAAAGATGCCCGTGTCTTTTTCCTAATAACTATTGTATTTTAGTCCTCTTCATTGATAAAAATAGAGCGAATATGCCCCATTTGCCATCAGTGACTACCAATGCTACAGAGACTATCAGATATTGAACACCTGTCATACTTGCATGCAGCAAATTCCACTGAAGATTGTCTTGGAGATAAAGGTGGTTAAAATCATTTAACACAAGTACTGCCCAGGTATTTTAGATTGCTGATGTTATATTTATTCCTTTTCCTGAATGCTAGAGGAGGCACACACTCCTGGAACCTGCTATAAAAAGGGCATCCATAAAAGTAATATAGAATATAAGTAGCCATATATGAGGTTCTGATTCAGTTAATGACAGCTGCATGGGGCTAATCAAAAAGATGCTCTTGCCACATGGACATACTCCTTTTGAATGAGAAATGATCATCAAGCAAATAGAATGAAGCATTATTTCATGTGGGAGAGATCAGTATTCACAAATACTGGTTTAAGAACAGATTCCTTTTTCTACTGATAAAAGACTTTTTTTTCAGTATTTTTAAACACTATCTCTTACCTATGTATAAAAAATCCCTCACTTTTTAAATCAAAATAGCAATTGCTCAAAAAATTATCATAAATGGTTAATATGGAGCTTTTCATTTTAATATCAGAAGTTTAATCAAATAGTTTAATAGTACAGTCTATGAAAATAATATGACTGACTAATAAATTGATGTTTCTTATATATACGAAGCCATTTAATATCTCAGGGCCAGAACCTCTCCTAGAGTTCCTTGAAGCAGCAGCTTGCTGTAGGGAGGAGGTTGGTGGTCTGCTCAGCCTCAAGTCCTGGCACGGGTTAGGGACATCCTGGGCTCCTCCAGCCTAGACCAACTGGGCTTGGTTTTGGGGGGACCCCACCCCAAGAATGGCAGCCCATGACTACATTGTCTCAGGGTCTAGGCAATGCTAAAAGAAACACGCTTGTATAAAATGCTACTCCTCATCTTGTTCTAATAAGAGGTTTTGCTTTGAGAAAACTGTCTTGCAGATTTAAAATTCTCACTGCAATAGTTTTTAAGTCCCTGAAAACCCCAAATGATTGTGAGTAAATTCTCGGGCCATCCATTGTGCAAAAAAACGGAGTCAGAGACCACAGATTTCAGTCTGTCATTTTTTCCAATACTGCTAGCATTAGGAGTTGAGAGGTATATAACATTTTAATGGCTGGAGCCATTAGGAATACACAGATAAGCAGTGTGCACACAGTGAATACAGTGTTACGTTCTGTTGCATTCAAAAAACAGGTTGAATTTACTAATGTAATACCACAGTCATTCATTGTTAAATACCAAGCTGAAGTGATGCAGCAACCAAAGCCTTATCAACTATGCCAGATTCTAACACCTAGACATTGCAAGGTCTGCAGTTATGATGGACTACCTAAGTTGATAACACATGGAATTATCTAAACAACATTTGCATATTTGTGTAATTATTTCCTAAGGTTAATTAGCTCCTGCAAAGCAGCTTGCCCTTTGAGACTGCTTACTGTGACAGGTTCACATATTTCCTGTTTCAATGCCAAATTTTACTTTTTTTTTGGGTGTGTGTTGTTTTTTTAAAGTAACCTGTTGCTGGAAAGTTACAGATGGGGCAAGAGCTGGAGGCCTTGAACTACTATAGACTTCACTGGGGCAGAG